CAATATTTAATGTATGAATACGAACGTTACATTTTTTTGACCAATAATCTTTACATTTCCAATATGTTTTTTCTCCGGACTTTTTTTCAGTTACATATTCATAACCATTAAAACGCGGTAAACGTTTGCCTTTGGTAGTTTATAAAAAACTAGCCATACTTATAATGAAATTATTATTATTATTATTAGTATTACAATTAAAAAAATGAAAGCAATAGACTAAAAAAAAATGACAGCGATAGAATGTCTTGCTTTTGAGCGTAACAAACAGTATGATATGTGTGCATACAGATGTAAGCCGAATTTTGAGACGCCGCCGTCGAAAAATTCGACCTTTATTCATAGTACTTTTTAGTTATTCTTGTGCGTCTATTTACTTTATGGTTATCGTTCAGTTATCTAGGAAAATTCATGTGACGAAATGTCATTCGATGAAAAGTCGTTCGATGAAAAACCTTTCGATTTAAAGTTGCTCGACGAAAAGTCCGTGCGATGAAAAATCTTTCGACGAAATGTCGTTCAATGATTTGTCGTTACCTCTAATTTCAAATATGTTATGCATTTTGCGTCGAGATATACGAGAAGGGAAAAAGACGCAAAATATATAAGACGTAACATGTATTACAAAGGAAGCCTCAGGATAAAGGCAAAGCAGTGAAAATGAGAACAAAACTTTACCTAAGTTAACATTATCAGGTAATTTAAATTTTATGTCAAATGCACCATAATCATTCAATCTCACTTTTGACTCTTCAAGTTTTTGGCCACGCGGATCATTAATTGTATAATCAATTGTACCTTGTGCATAAGATGGTAATTTTGCTTCACTTTCTACTTTCAATAATCTAACATAACCTTTTACAGCCGTGTATACCTCACAACGGTCACATTCGTCAAACTCACTACATCAGCAGCATTCTAAGAATGATTGTCTCGTTCAACATGACAACGGAGGTTACGATTAGTTGGGGTTTAAGGTCAGTTATTGAATCAAAAGAACTTCACACCATTAGTAAGTTAAATCGTTTCTTTTTCCTCTCTGAGTTCTACACTGAGTATATGTGTTTAAACGTGTATCACGTATCATCAAAAATATTTGGAATAATGTCTCGAACGAGAAATAACTAAATAATTCACGAATAAGCTCGACAGGCAGATCTTCAAACAACATAACGTTTGAAAGCATTGCTTTGTTTTATACTTCTAACGTCGTTGTTGTGCAAAGTGTGCAAAATAAAATCCTTTATTTTATTCAGCATCATCAATACAGAACAGGGAAAGAATGTATAAGACGCAAGGAGCGTCATTTGTTTCCTTTCTGTTATTTCGTTCGTCGTGATGGATACATGTGGAGTATGATGATAAAAGTAAAGAAAAGAGAAAAAATAACGGAAAATACTTTTCTGGCCGTACGAAACGGTGTAGAAAATGTTACCGGACATCAATCAGTCTAAATTTTGCTGCAGAAGAACTCCTTGCTCAGTAAGCATTTTCGCAAACGCAAACTTAAATCTAGTCGGAGCTTGGACTTGTCCATCCCTGTTTCGACACATTAGAGCCTATTTGACTATACTATGTTTGTGTTTATTTTAATATTTTACAGAGCAATATGTTGATGTTTGGGCAGTGAATATTAGAAATGTTGTACTATAGTTAGGTATGCACCGGTACCAGTATACTGGGTAGAAAATTCATGTTTTCTAAATCAGAGACAGAAAACTCGAAAATCTGCCCGTAATTCTCAATTTTCTCAATTAGAAGTCAACTTTTACCCAATAAAAATGTTATATTCGGAATCAGGATCAAAAATTGAGTCGATTGATATGTATTTCTACCCTATCCGACCGCTTTCATTTTTTTCGAATTTTTTCGGCAAAAATCCCGGTCAAAATTCGAAAAAAATGAAAGCGGTCGGATAGGGTAGAAATACATATCAATCGACTCAATTTTTGATCCTGATTCCGAATATAACATTTTTATTGGGTAAAAGTTGACGTCTAATTGAGAAAATTGAGAATTACGGGCAGACTTTCGAGTTTTCGTCTCTGATTTAGAAAACATGAATTTTCTCAGCAACGAAACAAAATTTTAAAAAAACCTCGCCATACTGTTAAAGCTGGCGTGTTGACCGATGTGATAGTGTGTGAATGATCGTTATAGTCCTTCATCCCAAAAAACTAGATAGGTTTACAAAAAAAGTCATACCCACTTCGACTTTTTCCTTAAGTTTGTTGGAAAAATCTGATTTTTCCACAGGAAAAAGCATATTGAAGGAGAAAAAGGGTTTTCTATACTTAATCTTGACTGAAAAAGCGATAGGAAATAGTTTGAAGACGAAACAAAATTATTTAGAGCATTTTCTGTGTGATGGTCATTTCCAGCTCTGGCTATTGTGGGACCATTTTGATCCCGAGTTGCATCGCTTTTGTCATTTTTAAACAATGCATCAGGTGCAGAATTGTTTGCTCTATTAAAATGTCAAAACTCTATTATGGATTTTCGTTTGGTTGCGTAAAATATTTAGGTTTTTCCGCAAAAACCTTAGTCTTTCAAAACCTCAAAATTTGAAGTAAAATATTTTTTTGCGACTACTATTTTAACTTTAAAATACTTTTAAATATCAAATTTTGCTCAGTTTTGTACGCTCTTTCGAATGAAATGTCGCTCAAAAAGGTCGAACGAAAACTGACGGTTTTATACATAAAAAGCTGAAATTAGTCAATTTTCGGGTTTTTTAGGCTTAGGTCTTGGGAAAACTTGATTTTCTCCAGAGCAAAAGGACTTATAAGGTTTTAAAAAGTTTCGTCACCCCAATTTTTCATGCCGAATCGAATGATGTAACTCTTAACAAAATCTATCTTTTGCGATTGACAGGCCTGCTTAAGGGTAATCGGTTCACTCATGGAACGTCTCTTAACTCTAAAATTTCGAAAAATATGTGAGAAGATGCAGAATTTTTCGATGAATTTTCTGAGTTTTTCGAAATTCTTACGGGATGTGTTTTCCGATCAAGGCAAATATTTTTCTATTTTCAGTATATCACTGTTAGGCAACTCAGTACTCTTCAATATTTTGAATAGTGCTCAAACGAGAAAAATGCTGTCGCAGCAGGTTTTGTAAAGAATTCAATGCTTTATCGATTGAGCTTAGAACAAACTCTTTGGACTACTAGGCAGTGTCTCAAAAACACCGTATGAAAGTGTCCGATTTTGTGTGGGCCGCCCGATAGAGAATATGTGAAGGCTACGAGGCCGGTAACAGTCCTCTCTACAACGAAAAAGATCAATTGAACACAACAGAATCAAAAAGAAACGTTAACAGACGAAAAATAAAACAATAACCTTATATATAAAACTAGAGAAAAACTTCTTTAATGAAATACAAACATTTTTTCCTTTTAATAAAGCGAACACAAAAAAGAACAAGAACACAAAATCGGACAATAAGTACGGTGCTTTATAAGAATAACAATAATATAAAAGCTTTAAATAAAATGGTAATATGAAGCACTTGAACTACTATTTCCATGACTTTGTTAGTCAACATTATCCTACTGTCTGTAATCAATCACAATCTCTTATAAGTACATTTTCTTCGTAAAATATTTACTGTAATAAAATAAATTTAATAAATTATAGTTTAATAGGCTTTTAAGGGAGTGCACCCCATTTTGTTTTTCTTTCCAAAACTGCATATTGTATGTCCTCAACACAATTATTTTTTTTTGATTAGTTCAGGTTTATTGTCAGTGAATCGACCGGTTGAATCACAATAAGCATTAATTTTGATTACTTAGCATATGATCACTTTCGTAAAGCAAAGATCATCGGTATTTAGAGTACCGTGGTCTGACTCAGAAATGGTCAGACTATCTGGGACGGGACAGGTAATCCTCTCCTATAATTAAATACATTACTTGTCTTTCCAGTAAAAGATAAATAAAATATAATTTCATGCACTGTAAACAGTTCCTTCTATGTAGTCTAGAGACCAATATATGGTTGATGATTAGGAACATGTACTACCTCTAAGAAGAAATATCTTTTATACCTTCCAAAATTTAGTTCGACTAACCCCGGTTAGCCTGGCAAATGATCTTTCATTGTAGGTCATCAAGTTTATGACGTTCGAACCTTGGCGATGTCTGTCATCTAATAATCTTTTGGCAAGTTACTTATACTCATTGCATTGATTGTGTAGAATAACGTAATGAGGCCTGCCTCACTGTTCCTGGGTGACCGCTGTGAAGTGTAAAAAAGGTGAAGAAAAGTTTGTGACGAAAATATTTGCATTTTTACTCCTATCTGTTGCTGTTCTTGTTAAGCAGCGATAAGATTAATATTTTCAAAATCAAAAGTCATAGCTCTATTTTGTTTAAATGAGAATACCTCAGTAAAAGTCACTATATTGTCTTACTGTAATAGGAGTCATAATTATTCAATAGCTAGAATTTATTACTTAACAAAATTAGCACTGACAGAAATTAGTCTGAACGGCGATAATGCAACTAATTTTAGTTTATCTGCTCGTAAAGATGTTCAGAATTGTTACTGATAGTGCTAACTGGTACCAAATAATTGTCTGTCATATGACAGAAAACACTGCCCTCTTTATCATTACGATTTCGAGGAGTTGAGCTTGAACTGTTTTTCTTCGGTTGATTTTGCCTCTTCCAATGGAAATACCAGAGACTGGCAATAATAACAGCACATGTTACAGTAATACCCATTAGCGAACCAACAATTACCGCCGTGTTGATCGCTGATGTTGACGAACGTTGGTCTGAATAAAAAAACTTATCTCGTCAGCTGAGATTATGGTTAAACAGTACTTACAAAAATTTAGCATTACGATACGTATCAGCTCTCCCAGAATTAGTTAAAAAAGCTCTAACCTCTGGCAGAGTAGATTATTATTGGCTCTCTAGGTAGAAAACATTTTCAATGATATTTAGGAATTGAAAAGTTGGTATATCGTTCCTTCGCACAACAAGTTTTTAAGTTTGACATTGACTGAATTAGGATATTGACAAATCAAATTTTCTTTTGCGTTATTTACACATGGCTAGACTGAACTCATCGGGTGACCTAGGAGCCATTGGACGAGACCTACGACAGACGATGTTCCACGAGTATCACTGATTTTGATGAAACACGGTACCAACATAAAACAGAATGGCTACTTATCTTTTCTATGAGTATGAGGGTTAGACTCGGGCGAAGGAAATTGCTCCATCTTTTATACAAAAACACTAAAATTGTTTGCACGGCACCTCGTGCGCACATTTTAGGTTCTAATTAAACCAAATTTTATCTTTTATATTCAGTCAGCCATGACAAATTAGAAGAAAACAGTTTCAAAAATTAAATTCTTTAAACTATTTCTCTTAAAAATAGTTTTAGAAAAATTAAAATCTACATATCGCACGAGAGTTACGACAGACGATGTTCCACGACTATCACTGATTTTGATGAAACACATATAGTATGTAGATCTAGACTAGACAGGAATAGCCTGCAAGTCTCGGTTCAGCCTAATGTTTCGTTCAAGAGTTACATGCATTTTAAAAGTAGGTGTCTCTTAAAAAGAGGCGGATAATTTTGGGTAGAAGAATAAAAAATAAATTTTCTCCGTAACCACAGGAGATAGAATTAAGATTTTGCCACCATATATACTCTGAAACAAGCTTTATCCAATATGCCATTGAAATTGTTAAATATTTAGTACATCAGAATTGATGAGCATTTTAAGTGAGAAATAACACGCTAAGGTTGAAAATGCTTGTTCTTTCAGTTAGCCGAACTGATAAGTATGAAAATCGTTTCATTTGATAGTGCTCATCGCGATGTACAAGAGCCATTATTCAATAGTTTGAGATACACAACTTCTGTACCTAAAATATTTTTGAATTAGTAATGGTAATTCAGAATAACTCTGATAGTACTGACATATTTCGGAGCATAGTACCCTCTACCACTAGATATAGGAAACAGTTCTCTTCAAAATGACCGGTCTCAGCAGTAGGGATCAGCGGGGATACCCTGACTCCGGTCCCCGACCCCGACCCCGGCGGGGTGGGGTCGGGGCCGGGGCTAAAAAAGAAAACTTTTTTGGGTCTTAATCGGGGTCGGGGATTTAGAACATTCCCCGGTATACCCCGGCAAATGCTTTTCGTTATTTTATATTAGAAGGATGTTTATTTTCACAGTTAGTAAATGGATACATAAACAAACAAAAGAAAAGAAGTTTTATTGGCTGTCACTGATAACCTGTCACTGACAGGTTATCAGTGACAGCCAATAAAACTTCTCTCCATGTCTCTACCAAAATGTCGGCATGTGCATACGGTGCTTCTCGTTGATAGAAAATTTTCGGGTTTGTAAATAATAAAAAAGTGGCACATTACATAAAATCCAGTTTTCAGACGATTCATGTTAAATGGTTTACTATTCATCAGCCATTCGATAATAAAGGTTAGCGTATCCGTTGAGCAGTACGCAAGAAAAGCCGCATTTAACGTGGGATCTGACGACGGAACCTCCCAAGGTGATAAATCGCTTTTTGTTCGACATCTAGTGGATTATAGGTTATCGATCATGCTGATTCCGAATATGACCATGGGGCTTCCCCATTGCCTTCGAAGGTCCAGTCTTCTGGAAAACCAGTTTTTTCGAAATCCCAAAAAATAACCCAAGCCTTTCTTAACAATTCAGGATTGTAGCGCGCAAATTTCTGATATCCGCGTAAGAACCCTGAATTAATTATTTCTGTAGCTTTGAGCTGCCAATGAACAATTTAGGGCTTTTCTTACAAATTCTATAACTTTGCAAAGAAAGGTCGTGTAGAGCTGGGGAATGTTTCATTTTAATCAGAAATTTGTGGACAATCCTGCATTATTAAGAAAGGCTTGGGTTATTTTTTGGGGTTTCTGAAAAACTGTTTTTCCAGAAGACTGGATCTTCGAAGGGCTATGGGGAAGCCCCATGGTCATATTCGGAATCAGCATGGTCGATAACCTATAACCCATTAGATGTCGATCAAAAAGCGATTTATCACCTCAGGAGGTTCCCTCGTGAGACAATTTTAATGAAGTCAGCATCGAGATATTATTTCTTGAAATGAAAACGTCAACAGAACGAGAAATGAACGAGATTGAAAAAGAGAACAAGCGATGTGGGTCGTGACTTCGCTGTAGTAATACTTACACAAAGCTAAGTAATCGAGTTCATTCATACTGACTACAAATTTAGCAGAAACCAGGTTAATGGAATTTCTAAGCATTCCTCAATTAATCACTTTTGTCAAACAAAAAGACTTCATAACATATTCTTATGTGCAACCCAAATGAGCGCAAATGTTGCTAAATGTTGACAATTACACTGATATACTGTCTCTTGCGAATTTAAGTCGTATCTAAAAGTAGGTACTATTCCACAGGCGGTTGCACTCCATGCTGTTCCAAAATTTAAGAAGCATAACTATATTAGATTTTTTTGTTAATTGTTAAATTATTAGATTTTTTTTGTGAAATAAATGTTATCACATAATACCTGAATGACTTCTATTTAACCACTCCATCAATATGAAAATATACGCCACCTGTCGTTCTATCGTGTTCATTGATCAAAACAGACTAACCAATAATTCTTTTTTCCTTTCCTCTTTATATACATAACCAATCAGGCGAGGGTGTCGTTCAACTGAAGAAGTACCGTCATCTCCCCCAGGAGATGTATCCTCACCCTCAGAGATGCATATGCCCCCCATCATATGTGGCATCTCCCGCTGGGGATGCGGTATCTCCTGAGGGAGACGCGGATGCATCTCCAAAATTTTGGATATGTGACACTGCTGAAAATTTATTACATATATATATATATATTCATATATATATATGAATATTTTGAACGAGAGAGAAAGGTTGATTTTTCCAAAATATTCACTGTAATAAAGGATTTTCCCAGAACTGTTTTCTTTTTGTTTGACAATATTAGAATTATAAACATTATTTATTATTTATTATATTATTCAAATAGAATCTAAGTAATCATAAAAAATTAATTTCAATGATA